TAGATCTAAAGTGTTCAGATGCTCAATCCGAAAACTTCAGAGATCCATATGACTTTTGGTACCATATGACTACCCTCACTTGCCTTACACGATGTATGCCTTACATCAACCGGAACCTTAGATTCTTCCGAGATATATGATAATCATAAGGACGCGTCTTCTTGACCTAATGCCAATAACCTCCTCTTTTTCTCAATTGCATTCATTGTTTGCGACTTGCGAGTAGTTATCGCGGTGAGTTATCAATTTCCAGATCCGGGATCGATCGAAACTGTACGTGCCTAGATTTTACTGGTTGGGAGTTTCTCAACCAACAAATTTGGTCAATTTCACCGAAAAAAACCTGATCTGAGAAATTAACCGGGAGTTTCTGTCACATTGGGTTCCACTTCCCATTTTAACACAAAATTTTGGTTAATTTTCCTTACTGTGTGTATTGAGTGCTTTACATAATGTTGAACATAATCATGCGATTGTCTCGTAAACTTGCTCTTCCCTAAATCAGGTCTTACGGGTTGTTAACTCGGCTGGCTCTCGAGGTAAGCATACGAAAACACAGCTCTTCCGTGTTAAGGAAAAACGCCGTATCAACATCCGAGAGTTGCCAGATTTCCTTCTATAAAATGTTCATTTTTGCGAAAAATCATACACATTTCACCTTGAAATTTTCAGATGTTCTAGATGGAATTGAGAACCAAATCGTGTGAAAAATTTGAAGAAAAATATTTAGAATTTTTCCAGTGAATTTGCTTTTTACGGAAGGAAATATGGCAACATTTGGAGGCGCATACGGCGTTCTTCCTTAGGACGGCAGAGCTCCTCGCACGATCCACGATTGCACAATCACGTAGGTAACAATGTTGCTGCACCCGAGGAATAGGAGTCAAAGAGTCTTCCTCCGGTACGGTGCGATGTGGTGGGCGCCAGCAATGCCGTGCTAAGGTAGAACGCCATATGAGCATTCAGACGTTGCCAAATTTTCTTCGATAAAAACCGAATTTAGAGGGAAAATTGTGAATATTTTTTCTCAAAATGTTCAGACAATTTCGTAGGCAAATTAACCTAAAATATCTGAAAATTTCAAAGAAAAATATGCATGAATAGTGGGGCCATTTTATTTATCAAATGATTCCGAAATAATTCCGATTGCCGGGAACATATTCCGATTTGCCGAAGTTCCAAGAGAAATTCCAATTTTTTCAAAAATTCCGAAATATGCCCGGATTCAGTTCCGAAGATTGTTAAATTGATCAAAAAGTCCCTAAATTTGATCAAATAAATGGTCAAACTGGCGAAAAACCGCAAATTCTGAAGAAATTCCGAAAAGAGCGGAAAATTCCGGTGATTTAGAAAATTCCGGGAAAAGTTCCGATCATTTGAAAAGTTCCAAATTTCGGAATTAATTCCGGGAAATGGCAGAATAGTGCACGAACGTCGTCAAAAATTTATCGAAGGAAATTTGGCAACTCTCGTATGTTCATACGGCATTCTTCCTTAGCATTGCGCCGGACCGATGCACGCGTTACCGAACGAGGAGTGTGTGGATTCTGGATTTTAACTTTCGAGCGTTACGGACTTACGGAGCGAAGGAGGATCCACGGCTCCACCTCGGAAACTGGACTGAGGGAAAGTTACGCAAGCTGTCGCGCAGCGCCGCACGGTGGATCGCGTTAATAGGTGAGGTCGGACAAAATTTGGAGACTTTAAAAGCTTATAACTCCGTCCATCGAAAACTTTGAGGTTCTGAAAGTGGCTCCATTGGTTTCCTCGTGAATTTTTTTTTCTAATGACATCCCTTAAAATTTAAAATGTGACGAAATAAACGTCAAAATTTGCAGTTTTAGTAAAACATGTCATATGCGACCTCTCTGATTGACCCGATCCACTGTGCATCGTGTCGCCGTCGCTACGCATGAGGAAAGCGGCACGGCACGGCAACAATGTGGAATGAGACGAACAACGCTCGCTCAAAGAATAGTTTAAAGAAATTTTCTTTTACAAAAATGGAATAAACTTCTAGTGGATTCACAAAAAATTTGTTAGGGTGAGAGGCATTTTGTTATCTAAAGAAAAAAAATTTAAGGAGGGCCTTTTTTAATTGCAATTTTTTTTTTAAATCGAGGAAAATTACGGTTTTTCTCTTCTGAAAAGTTTAATTTCATCAATGTATGAAAAACTTAACTTAAAAGAGGGCCCTTTTTTCTATAAGGGCTGTTTCTCAGCCTATCTGGAATTCTTTCAACTCCACGATTTTTCTTCAATAAAAGTATTCACACATTTTTCGGAATGCATTATTATCGGGTCATTTTCGGGCTCATTCCGGGTCTAACAGTGGCGTAGACATAGGTCTGTGGGCCAATTTTGGCGGAAAATGTGGGTTTTTCGGCATTCGGATTTTCAGTGCTTTTAGACCTGTGTTAAGGCTACTGCAAGACTTGGAAAGAGTTTCAAAATGACCAAGTTATGTACAGAGCATTTTGAAAAATATAGAACGTCAATGAGGAGGAATTCGCGGAGTAGATGTAATTCAGGGTTGAACCAAACATGTCCCTTATCGATATCCCTCCTTTTTCTTTTTTTTGCAAAAAATGTCAACATAAAAAAAAATTGAACTGAAGAAATGCTTTTCAGTTAAACTGCATTTTTCTAAAAACTAAAAATTTTTTACTTGGCAATTTTTTCAGTGATAAGCACTTTCCTGCTCATGTTTTTATAAAATTCATAAATGGCCCAAGACGCTGGTAGCCATGGAGGTGCTGAAAGAGCCCATCAAGATCATTCAAAAACGTGAATTCTTACTTAACCTACATTACAATTTACTTATGATACGTTGATTTCTGGCAGAAGGCACTTCTTAGTGCAAAAATACTTAAGTTTGAAGGGATTTTCCTTTTACTTGCCACGGTGGACACATTGGAAAATTCAAAATTCTTTGACCGGTGGACGAATTGCGAAATCGAGTTGCATTTCCATGTATATTGTGACCGTCCACCATTAGCGTAGCTACACATGAGGAAAGTCCGTCGATTTTCGACCGAAAGGAATGCCGTTCGGAAAAATAACGCCAGTCATCTGATTAGCCACGAGTTGTGTCTGGTCATAAAACCGGAAAATGAACGGAAAAAACCACGAAAACTTCGTCCTCTTGCCAAGGATGGTCCATGAAAGAGGAGAGAAAACTCATGAGCTGCTCCATTTATCAATATCTAAATTTATATAACATGCAAGTTTGTTGGCAAGCAAAAACGTCTTTTACCAACTTGTTTTATCCGACTTTTGACGCAAGGATTGTAGGTATTCAGCTAATCCATTGAAACAATGCAATTCGCGTGGAAACTTTATGTTCTAAATAATAATTTTTATCTCAGAGTCGCAACATTGTAAAAATGATGAATAGGTCTCCCTGTTTCGATGGAGATACTGCTTACATTATTAAATTGCTCTGCTGATATCATTTGCATCTTAATTTTTTTTTTTTTTATGCATGCGGTGATTAGTTTCTGAGGTATCAGACATTAAAAATTCATCGTCTGTCCCTGATATCGGCTGGACCTATCCACTCATATAAATTGGCAAAAAACAATAGAAAATATTTTGCTGACAGGGCTCGCCTTTTTAGTAGAAATCCATCCAGGTGATATCAACAGCATTCTTCACTTGTTTCTACTCGTCTTTTACATAGAAATCCTTGTTTTAACTCAACTTTAAGGGTTTTTTTCTTTCTTTATTTCCTCTTTTATTGGGAGTTGAAACCCGATAGTACCATCGTGTTTCTCGCGCAGTCAATATGGTAATTAAATAAAAAATCTGACACGGCAGTTAAGCAATTGGCGGCTGTCTCGGTAGACTCGTATAAACATTTGCGCGTGCGCATTATGACACGGAAAATCCTGAAATAATTAATCTGTGACTTGCATCAGTTAGAACCGGAAGGAAACACACATGAACTTTAACCAAAATAAATTTACACGGATATAGTAAGCAAGCAGCTGAGGTTATTATCCGTTAATTAATTGGCTAATTAGATTAAAATTGGCATGCAAATGAGGTCAGTTTTAATGTCACCGCAATGCAAATTATTCGCGACCAAAACATTGAGTTCGAACCTTGCATGCGGTCAACATTAAACAATCAGGGTAAAGTATATGACCATTAAAGACAGTGAAATGGAGCTGCATATTTTAACGTTGTAAAATTTTCTGATTTTTTTTTCTTTTCTTTTTAATTGGAAAGAATGAGTTTGGGATAGGCTGGCATATGGACAGGGCAAGATTTGAATCAGGCATAAGCCTTTCCTTAATATGTTGCGATACATTAGGATCGGATCGATAGTAATGAAAGTTGAAAGCTACTCATCCTACATGATAAACGAGAAAAAACACTAACATTTTTTTCTCCACCTTGTAATTTACATGATAAATGAAAAAATTGAAAATATAAGGAATCAAAAAATTCTCTCCGGAGTTTTTTAGCGTTGAATTGACATTGTGAAGTCTGGTCACTGGAGTAAAATTAGTTTTTTCTTTCTTTTTTTCCTTAAACCTCCTCCCTAATTCTATTTAGCACTACCATGAAATGACATGCTGCACTATTACAAAGCTTTATACGTTTAGAACGAGCTGTGCAACATTTCCGTAGTTTTTGACTAAGATGAATGAGACAATGTCAAAAGTCACCTATGGAGTCCAAAGAAAAAACGAAATCAAAAGTTTGATTCTGACTGTCATTTGGAAGAAATGCATTTCCTAAACCAGGTATCAGCCATTCGCGCACCAGTAGGTGTAAAAGTGCCTCTTGGTACCTACTTGATAGATGCGGAGGAAGAGGGTGAATTCCTCTCATCTATCCTACGCAAGGCATTTTCATTCGAGAATTTCAAGCAGGTCTTTTTTAAAAAAAATCATCTGCTACAAATGCTCAGACGTTTTAAGCTAGACTTTTTTTTAAAGAGCACATCGATCAAAGAATGTATTTTTTCGTGATCTAAAACTGGAACTTACCCGCCCAAGATCCGTATTTCTTGACCAGGTCCGCATTTTGTGCTTTGAAGTATGGCAGAAGATGAACTTTTAATCCGAGAAGAACTGACCACAAAGTATCGGCTAAGACCCACAAAACCAGAGCACTCCCCACTCCCGCAAGCAACGATAAGAAAAATGACATTTTTAAAACAAAAACACACGTCGGCCACTGCCCACACTTTTCATCCACCCGCACTCAAAGAAAATCTGGCTACGCCGCCAGAAAACGGCGCGAAATATGCATTCTTTGAGTCGTTATGCCAAAATGAGCACACGCAAAACTAGCGATCAACACTTTTAAGATTAAAAAATTTTTTTGAAAAAAATTTGTATTAAAATTAGGTGAAGTGAAATTAATGAATAATTATCACAGACAATGACAAATAATTACATTCCGACTAAAAAGTGAGCTGGGTGGATAAGATACCGAAGCCACGAGAAACCAAATCAATGATTGATAGTGGTTATCACATCGGGATCGAGAGTTGAACCGGTTCAGTGGCGCATGCTCGCTACGTCCGTTTCTTTAGGAGCGAAAACGTAAACTGAGCGAAATCACGAACGAATCAGTTCACGGAGTTACTGGCCGTCTGGTCTCGCTGTGGCAAGCGCTCCTATAGCCGGTCTGGTTGTTACCCGAGCGGCCACTTTATGAGGGGGGGAGGGGGGGGGGCTGATCGTGAATGCTATTTACATCACGACTCGGCCGCACAGAGGACAAAAGTATGGTCCGAGAGGAATAAGTTCGGATAGTCCTAAAATAGCCTACGCAATACATGTTTTTTTTATTTTTTTTTTATTTTATTTTGTTTTTTTTTTGACGCACTTAAAGTCGATCATCGATTCCTTACGAATTTATGGTTGTGATTACATGGATGTAGATGTGAGGTAATTGGATATCGACGGTGAAACTACCAAACCACGTATCTCGGTTTGCGACGTCGCAGACTTCCTGTCATACTATATTTTTTAAATGAAAAACTACTTAACATCCAGTCTTAAAAATTTCTGTGATTTTTCCTCTTTGTGCGGAGAAAATTCCATGAAAATTTCAAGGAATGATATTGGTTTGGTCTACTTCAAAAAAATAAAATGTGAGCGTAGATTTTTAAACACCGCAAACGAGATACGTGGTTTGGTAGTTTCACCGTCGATATATAAAATGACTGTTAAGACTGAGCTCGCCAAGCCTGCTTTAAGAAAGCGAACTCGAGTTTTATCCATTACTGGAAGCGGTTAATTGAATAGGGGGCGTAATTTTGTGTTATCAATGTTGCCTATGTGCGTAATCGAAGGCGGCTTATCGCTCGAGAACTTCTCGGGAGGCGACTTTATTGTCAACTAGTCGTGATTAGCTCGCTTTGCGAGCTGACACGTCTAGCCGGGGAGTGCCCCTGGACCCCAGTTCTACGCTTCGCGACGAACTTGCGACTCGCTCCGCGAG